ATGGCAGGGATGGTATAAAGGGTGACATTTCTACTCAGAGCTGATTTCTTGGTCTCATTTCTAATCTGAGGTTCCAGAGGCCCTTAAAAAGGGCTGAGCCACATAATCTGGTATGAAGAAGTTAGAGAGCTCGGGGGGTTCTGTGGAAAATAAAAGAGCAGCAGAGTTCCAGAGTCACAGTGTGAACCCATAAACTCTCTGGCTACCTGGGCCTGAGAAACACTCACCCATGAGGGAACTTTCCTACTTCTGCACTCCTTTAACTTAGGTCTAGAGCTTATTGATCTTGTGATGTATGAAAGTACAAGCGAACAGCTTTGGTATATGACCCCTGAGCTCTCCAACGTCCTCAAGCCAGGTTATGCGGCTCATTAGTGTACGATCCTGCTTCAGGTCTCTTCCTTGTCAACTCAGGCAGTGGGCGTGACAGCGCGTGCATACATGTACAGCCTGTGCTTCCAGTCACGGGTGCTCCATGGTTGCTATTTGAGGGCTATCACCTTCTTCCTTTTCCAACCTCACTCTCTGTGTACCTGTCCTGCTTTCTGCTATGACTCACAGTGATGCTGAATAGATCTCTCTACAGGTTGATCTCTAGATGCTGGGAATTGTGAGCAGGATTTTTTTCCCATTCCCTTTTTATAACATCAGTCTTGCCTTCTCAGTCCATGATCTGGCCATATATGTCTGAAACCAGCAGTTAATAAGCATTTTGGTATAAAATGCCTAAATTATAAACATATTAAAGTCTTTATATACCATTTTCAAAGAAAACAGGCCTCCCTTTGTCTTTGCTGTACATAGATTTATTTCCTGATCTGAAATGTGGCCAGCTAGGACACAATTCCTTTCTTCCACTTTGGAGCTACCCCTCTTGTGGAGAGAAGTCCCACAGACACCACAGCAAGGCAGTCAGTGGGTTATCTGTGGCTACCTCTTGTGGCCATCCTGACTGCCGAGGGTAAGCCAGGAGTTTGCACAGTTGTCTCTGAGAGCCTGAGGAGGCCCAGGGGCCCAGGGCCCGGGGCCCATTGGTATGGCCATGTGCACTACAGAGTGGAAGGAAACTTAGGAGGTCTTTAAGAATTTGAAAACATCCCGGAAAGAGTCAGGATTGTCAATGTGAACAGCTTCATCTGGTCAGGAAAGTTATGATGAAATTGAACCTGATTCTCAAATAAATGGCTTGCTCCAGGGTATCATTTCCCAAAATCACTATCCTGCGTTAGCTGGGGAGAGTCAGCGCTAATTTTCAATTTACTTTGCATTCTGATTCTATAAAAACTTGCCAGACTGAATGCACATGTGCGCTCTCCCCACAGAAAGCAGCGGGGGCCAAGGATGGATCCCATTAACCCGGCGCCATGTTTGCCTCAGGCAAAGTGGTCCCCAGGGCCAGGAGACCAAGGCTGGCCTGTGATGTTGTGTCAGGTGCTCAAGGAATCCCAGAAGTGTACAAGACGGTGTGTAGCTTTCTCTCTCTTCTTCATGTCATAGATTGCTGGCTTGAGTTTTAATTAGGTTGCATGAAAATGCAATTTGTTGGAAGCTTTAATCATCTTCCATTGGGGAGCCTTGCTGGGCTGGTTTATTTTCATCCTGCTCCTCCCTGGGTGTGAAAAAGGGGCTGAGGGATGTTTGGTACCTGTCTGTTCTCTCCTTGCTTCACTGGCCTTGATGACCACATTGTCTGACGTAAGACTTGGGGTGTGGGATCCTGACTTCTTCAGACAGGTTTGGTTTTTTTTTTCCTATTTGTTAATTTAATTAAACTAATGAGTTTATGAAGGTATAGAAATTAAACCACATTGAACTCTATGTTTAATGAGTTTCCTTTATCTGGAAAGAACCAGTATTCATAAACCCAGGGCTCTTTTAGACCTCGGAAGTCTGATCTCCGTGAAGTGAATTCCTAGGCCAGGAGCTTTGCGTTAGTTATGGGTCATGGTGATGCTGATGGCAGCTGTGTTCCCTGAGCGCTCACCCAGAGGCAGGGACTGTCACGCAGAGGAATTCACCCAATGCTGTGACACAGCAGGGAGGCAGGCTCCCTAAGACTCTCATCTTAGAGATGAGGACACTGAGGCCCATGGTGGTAGGTCCCTTCTTCATCAGGCTGGCAAGTGGCTGACCAAGGTGGGACCCCAGCCAGGCTGACTCTGGGGTTTATCCTCATGACCCCTGCACAGCCATCGTCCTGCTGCAGTCAGTGGTTTCTTAGGAGATCCATTTTGGGAGGCGACATGCTGCCTCCTTGCTGCTTGACCCCCTGGCCTTCAGCGGAGTTCTGGCTCAGCCCCACATTGCAGGTTTGAAATGGGGCAGACTACACAGGCTCTGGTCTCCAGGGGCCCGTGGGAGGACTGTGCAGAGTGGTTTCCACCCACTCTGCACACCTGGCGGAGCGCTGGGCCCGGGTCCCAGAGGCTGAGTCCTGCCATCATCCCCTGAGCAGCACCCCCACCCCTCTCACCTCATAGCTCATCCATGGCGGGGGCTGGGCCCCGGGCTATTCTGGACAAGGCAGGGTGGCCCCACCCTGATACCTGCCTGGTACAAGGACCTGGGATTGTAGTGAGAAAAAAGCTTTTCCCAGACAGCCATCCAGCAAGGTTGAAATCTATCTACCCCACTTTCAGTTTATTATTAATACATGAACATTCCAAACTACTTACCTCAGGGCTTACTCATGCCATCTGTCAATGGCTATAGTTTTCTGGTAAAGCTATTCCAACAAACTGGTAACCATTCCTGCCCCTCTCCTACTCTTGGGAAAGCATCCCCCATCTCCAATTTCAGGGCCTGGGCCCTGGGAAGGACCAGGCAGCACCTGCAGAACGCTGGAACGCACAGGCGTTGGCGCCTGCTCTAGACCTTCACTGAGCTCTTCCCGGGTGCCAAAGGGTCCTTGGGGCCCAGCATGTCCTTAGGGCTCAGCCTGGCCTGCAGGCTGGAACACCTGCCCCGAGCTTCCTGTTGGGGCAGCGGATGGGGCTAGCAGTGTCCAGGTAAAGAGTTTGGCGCTTTAGATGCCACTTTAACCCCAGTGCATCCAGCATAGGCTTGGCACAGTGCAGGGTGAAAGGGAGCTGTATCCACTCAGCAGATAGTAGCTGAGAATTTTTCAGAAGTGGATTAAGTAGTGGTTGAGGAGAAACAGTCATTTTTATAGTCTAAGAATGTTATTTTTTATGGTGGTCAAGAATTTAGATGTATTTGGAAAGGCAAGTCAAAACTTAAATTCTAAGCTAGTGACAGTTCAAGTTGGGGCAGTACCCTTTTGCAGTGGGCCAGTTTAGCGTAGATCAGGACAGCCACCGTAAACATGAACTTCACGATCAGAGAAACGTAGTGTGTGGGTGGATGCGCACTGGGAGTCTGCAGTGTTCCTGGCTTCACTCGGGCATCCATAGAGTTGATACTGTCTTGGGAAAGAAAGCAGAAATATTTTTTTAAATATGTGGGGCTGGCTGGGCGCAGTGGCTCACACCTATAATCCTAGCACTCTGGGAGGCCAAGGCAGGAGGATTGCTTGGGGTCAGGAGTTCGAGACCAGTCTGAGCAAGAGCAAGACCCTGTCTCTACTAAAAATAGAAAAAATTAGCTGGGTGTGGTAGCACACGCCTGTAGTCCCAGCTACTGGGGGTGCTGAGGCAGGAGGATCGCTTGAGCCCAGGAGTTTGAGGTTGCTGTGAGCTAGGCTGACGCCCAGCACTCTACTCAGGGCAACGGAGTGAGACTCTGTCTCAAAAATACATGAAATGAAATGGAATGGAATGAAATACGAATAAAATAAAATAAAATATAAAATAAAAAAAATAAATAAAATATAAAATAAAAAAATAAAATGTGAGGTTGAGGAGATGGGACATTTAGAGGTAGGTGAGGGTTTTACATGGCTACTCCCAAGCTGACAATTTAAAGCTTCAGGCTGGTTTGCTAGAACGCTATTCTTGGTTTCCAGCCTCTTCCTTCATGAAAAGGGTTACTATGTTTATGAAACCACAGTCCTGGAGGTAGACTGTGGGGGACCTTTTGTCTAATAGACTCTGGCCTGCTCATCGAGTGGCCTTATAGGGCATTTCTTTCAAAGTGACAGCACATGCTGTTGCTCCTCTCCAGCTCATCCCTGACCTTCCTTTAACTCTGAGTCTCCCCTCTTAGCTCTTGCTTTGGGCACAGGGACATGGGTGAGTACTGAGGAACAGGGGAGGTTCAAGGGAAATAAGGGCAGTTATGGGAAAAATGGATACGTTTCCTGATAATTGACTGCACACTGTTGCACAAACACTCATGTGTCCTCCCAATTTCATCTGACCAACTGGCTCCCTGGAGAATGCTGAGCGAGAACACGCCACGTGCATGGCGGGGCAACGAGCTGACCAGCGAGAGTCTGTGCTGACACTTGGCACAGAGCAGCTCTGCCCCGCACTGAATTCCCTTTGGGTGTCTGTGAGGCCTGTGGTCAGAAGTCCATCTGTGGCCACCACGGATACGATCTTGGGGCTGCCCCACCCAGAAACATCCATCCCCCAAGTGTCTGCTCTGAAGAGTACAAGGATTGGTATGATTTCCTTTTTACTTTTCTTTAAAAAAAAAAAACTTACTGGTTTCACAAATATTCAGGGATTGAAAATGATAACGGGCATTACTAGAGATAACGCCAAAACAGGTTTCTGAAGCGGAACCAGGTGAGTACTGATATGCCACCTCTTCTAGTAACACTCACTGTGTGACCAAGTCTAAGCTGAATGACGGTCTCAGCTTGTTCTCTGGTGCATCATGAGGGCTATGGCTTTGCTGTCTGCTCACGTCAGTAGAGAGAGAGAGAAACACGTTCCACGGTGCTGGACAGTCAGCATAGAGTGCAGGACCTGGAAAGATACTTGCTGAGGTTCAGAGCTGAAGTCTGCAGAAGAGAGCTCTGAGATTTTTATCAGACTTGGTAAGTCCCCGGAGTTCTACTTTGTCACTAGTGTATTTGATTTTGGTTCTTCCAGAAAGAGTCTGCTGAAGGTCAGGGTCATGGATTTTATCACCTCTACGGCCATCCTGCCCCTGCTGTTTGGATGCCTGGGCATCTTTGGCCTGTTCCGGCTGCTGCACTGGATACGCATGAAGGCCTACCTGCGGAAGGCCGTGGTGGTGATTACAGGTGCCACCTCAGGACTGGGAAAAGGTGGGTCCTCGGGGCAGTGCTATCAGGGGCTGGGGGACGTCAGCCAGGGATGAGGTGCGGCTGAGCTGCACAGGGATCACCAGCACAAGTGCCCAAAGAGAAAGCAGGAAATGCAAAGAAGAGAAGTGGGCTGGATGTCATTGTCCTTGGTCCAAGAGGAAAAAGCGGGAGCTGAAGCACGACGAGAAGTGGCCCTGACCGTCAGGTTCAGGTGGGGAGGCAGAAGCAGGTGGAGAAGGCTGGCCAGTGGGAGGGCACATGCCCCGCCACTCAGCTCCAGCTGCTTGTGGAAGTAGGAATTTTTATGTGAAATCTCCCAGTTTTCAAATGTGGACAACTAATTTGAAAAGTGTTCTTACCTCTGTGAGGGCCAAATGAAACATGCCCTTTCCTGGATTCAGCCAGCACCCCCAGCTCATGGCCTTAGTACTCGCCCAGCCCATGCCTCCCCATCCTCGGCAGGGTCACAGACAGGAAGTGATGCCTCAGCTGCTCCTTAACCAGGTTCTCCAGTCCAGGTCCATTCCAATTCACTGAACACTTTGAACTTCTGAGCCTGGAGGATGTCACACCCCAACCCCCCTTGTTCTGTTCCTGGAAGCCCATACAGTTTCAGGGCTCCATTGTGTTCCCTCCACACACACATACTGACTTTGGCAGCCTAGATGAAGGGTAAATGCAGGCACGTTGCGTGAGCCTCCTGCCCTCCTGCCTCAGCGTCTGCACACACCGCCCCGCTCCACGTGCCATCCACATTCAAGCTCAATTCCACAGAAGCAAGCTCGGGACCTCCCTGGATTGTGGTAGGCACAGCCACTGCTGCATCTTTTGGTTAGTGACAGCATAGGCAGAGCTGACAGAACGTCTGCTAAGTGCGAGGCTCTGGGCCAAGTGCTAGGACAGACAGATGAAAGAGGGGGTCCCTTCCCTCAAGGAGTTCATAGTCTACGTTCCAAGGAAAAAGGCAAGGACTTATCACATTGCCATTTCAGTGATGGGTGTTCCCAGCCAGGCCTGGTGAGGGGAAGGCACATTTGCATGTGCTGGCTTGTGCTAAGCATTTCTCATGCATGATCTCTCTGAATTCTCACAGTTAAGATTCTGAGAAAGTATGACTTGCCCTGGGACTTTCAGCCAGAAAGTGCAAAGCCAAGATTCAAATCCATGCTTCTTTGACTCCAGAACTCACAGTCATAAAGCCTCACCTTGGGGGGAGATGGCCAGGTAAAAGGGAGGATGGGCATTAGGGAAAGCATTCCAGGTAGGGCCCAGGGCTGGGAACAGCATGGCCGTCCAGGGGGCCATGAGCGGTTGGGTGTTGCATGAATACAGTGAGCAGATAGGGCCTTGTCTGTAGAGTAAGTGGTTTGCAGTGGGCCGGGGGGAGCCTGGGAAGGCTTTAAGGAGTGTGGATTCATTTGTATGCCACTGTGGACATGAGGTAAGGTCTCCAGAAGTGAGCTGTCATTAGATATTCAGACCTTTGAAAAGACAGCTGCCTGCAGGCCCTTTGCCATCGGTCAGTCCTCTGACCTTACTCAGCTACTATATATAGATAAGGCAGTCAACAGCCATTTCTCTTGATCGCAGGGAGAAGCATTTTGTTTTGTTTTGTTTTTTTTTGAGACAGAGTCTCACTCTGTTGCCTGGGCTAGAGTGAGTGCCGTGGCATCATCCTAGCTCACAGCAACCTCAAACTCCTGGGCTCAAGTGATCCTTCTGCCTCAGCCTCCCGAGTAGCTGGGACTACAGGCATGC